TGATCTGGATACAGAGAAAGACTCCTCCATTAGACTTTGGAGATCTGTTTGCCCATTTTCACTAATGCTGAACTGTGCTTGTGAGTGATGACAGGGGTAGGACAAGGGAACCTAAGAGATAAAAGATGGCAGCAGTAAGTTTGTACAGAGGCGTGATTAGATTTGTGACATTTCCATTACTACAAGTGCCCAAAGTTTAGCACAAAACACATCTGCAGGTGGAGGGAGTTACCAGATACCACTGCTTTTTAGGTGAGGTTAGATTTCTGGTGTCCCAAGAACTAGATCTTAAAAACAGATTGCCATAACCTAATTCTGTTTTAAATAGTAATGTACTAGGTGGTGATATACTCAACTGGAAATACAATTGGAAAACTTCAGTACATGTATATATATTTTGCATTTGTATTTACAGACAAATGTGTGTACTACGTGGCTTGAGAAGTAAATACCTTAGCTTGAAGCTAACTGCATAATTAAAGTACTTTCTAAATGCAATTTTTCTCTAATCTACAGAAAATGAGCAGTGTTTTTATTGGTTATACTACACGCCAGGCACCATTACTTTCTGAAGATTACAGAGTTTTCAACAACTTTGTTTTAACAGCATCAAGAAAATGTAACTTTCTGCCAGTTTTAAACATACCTTAAGAAAATAGTACTTCATCTTTTATGCGGATTTCACACTTCCAGTTTTATGCTGTTGTACTGGTGCTAACTCCAAAGGTGACTTAAATATCACAGATACGTGACTTAATTTATTTATCAAAAAAAAAAAAAAAAAAGAGGGAGAGGAGAGGAGAGGAGAGGAGAGGAGAGGAGAGGAGAGGAGAGGAGAGGAGAGGAGAGGAGAGGAGAGGAGAGGAGAGGAGAGGAGAGGAGAGGAGAGGAGAGGAGAGGAGAGGAGAGGAGAGGAGAGGAGAGGAGAGGAGAGGAGAGGAGAGGAGAGGAGAGGAGAGGAGAGGAGAGGAGAGGAGAGGAGAGGAGAGGAGAGGAGAGGAGAGGAGAGGAGAGGAGAGGAGAGGAGAGGAGAGGAGAGGAGAGGAGAGGAGAGGAGAGGAGAGGAGAGGAGAGGAGAGGAGAGGAGAGGAGAGGAGAGGAGAGGAGAGGAGAGGAGAGGAGAGGAGAGGAAAAACAACTGTGCAGAAATTTAAATTTCAGAGTCAAGCCTTGAAAGCCTAACTCCTTAGTAACTTCTAAGTCTCATCTGTAACCCTTTTGTTTCTAATACATATTGTTATATCTGTTGGGTATTTAGTGTCTCACTTTGCCATCAGAATTAATAACCTCAATGCAGAGACAAGATTATTATGCACTATGATGTATTACTGGAGGTTGCCCTTATGATCTCATTGGCTTAGATAACACCAACTCAAGATTTACTCAATGTTCTCTACACATTACATTGACGTTCAGGTCTTGGACCCCCGACATAAAATGTGCACAGACCTATTTGAGCAGGTCCAAAAGAGAGCCATGAGGATGATCAAGGGGCTGGAGCACCTCTCCAGTGATGACAGGCTGAGTTGGGGCTGTTCAGCCTGGAGAAAGAAGGCTCTGGAGAGGCCATATAGTATGACCTTCCAGTACCTAAAGGGGGCCTACAGGAAAGATGGGGAGGTCACAGTGTGTGGTAATAGGACAACAGGGAATGGTTTTAAACTAAAAGAAGGTAGATATACATGTAGATTAGATATTAGGAAGAAATTCTTCACTCAGAGGGTGGTGAGGCACTAGCACAGGTTGCCCAGAGAAGCTGTGGATGCCCCATCCCTGGAGGTGTTCAAGGCCAGGCTGGATGGGGCTTTGGGCAACCTGGTCTGGTGGGAGATGTCCCTGCCCATGGCAGGGGCTGGAACTGGATGGTCTTGAAGCTCCCTTCAAACCAAGCCATGGTATGATGATTCCGTAAGATAATACTGAAAAGAAGATATGACTATTTTTCTTCTGTACACAGTATCTTGAAAACACAAAGAGGAAAAGGGAACACAAGGACGAACTGCTCAAGTAAAGCAAGTGGAGCAACAACAAGCATGCATCCATTGTTGCTGGGTAAAGTATTGCCAAGGTCAAGCTAGCATATCATAATTGAAGGAAATTGCTGCCAGTAAAAAAGACACAAGTTCCCAAGAGAAGCAGGAAAGGCAGCTTTTGCACTCCCAAGCACTGGCTGTGAGCAGCCCAAGCCACACAGTCATTTCTGCTGAATGGATTGAGAGTTGCTCTACACGGACAAAGGGAGTTTCATTGTTGTGAGGGGTTGGCCATGCCCTTCTTCCCCCCAGTTCCTCAGCTGATGTTCCCTAAGCCCCAGAACAGGTTTTAATGGTGACTTGGCAGCAAACACTGAACTCGCCTCTGCATCGTGATCAATTGTAATGGCTGGCTGGGGACAGCAGAATCACAGAGGGATGTCAAATGATCCTAAGACGTTTTGAATTATTATAGTTCCCATTAGTCTCTCATAGATGCTGAAAGAACTAGATTCAAGCTAAACACGCAAATACACTTAGCACAGGATAATTAGGAAGGGCTCCTTCTTAAAAAGTATCTTACAGCTTCTGTCTTCTTCATGAAAAACAGCACAGCAAATGACAGGTATGAGACTTAACAAGTGAGTGTGATCACTAGTGTAGAGTACAGGCGTGAGAATTAAGAGATTTCTTTTTTGCCCAGTCACAGATCTGCTCTATGACCACAGACAGCACAACTATGCTGTTGTGTTTCATTTAACCTTTCCATAAAAGAGAGAACTGCAGGCGCAGCCTGCTCCATGGTCAAGCTAATTTGCTTAGTATTTGTGTAGCTGAGAAGGCAGAAGGAATATCAAACTGCAGGTTATATATCATGTGAACCAATTCAGCAGTTCTACAATAAATCTGTCTTACTAAATGAATTTCTGTGCTGAAGCAATGTTGCTAGCAATTTGCAATTCCCCAGAATATATAATATATTTACATGGAAACTAAATACTTGCATTACATCATTGCCTAGAAGATACAGAATGCACATTTATTGCAGAAAATGCATGTAAAAAAAAAATGAACAAATAGAACTAATAGTTGTGTGCAAACAAGGACTTTAAACATCTTGAAATATCAATTCTTTCACTGAAGCAGTTGGAGCTGCATAACCTTGAATCTAAATTCATGCATAGCAACAGAAGTAAATTTGATAGTCAGATGTAAGTATTTACATTCTGTGCTATTAGCTTTTTAAGGCATAAGAGTCTCACTTCTACCACCCATCTGGGATAAAAGCAACATTTAGAGGAGAAAATTTGGGTTTTGATCCTCGTTGTCCTTGTACAGCAAGGCAAGAAAGAACTGGAGCACAGACAGTGTCTGAAGGACAGAAGTCAGATTTTACAGAGAAAGAGAAATGGAGGAGAAAGAAAGACTGCATGGTCTCCTCCTGACACCCTGCATGCCCCGGTGTGTGGTGTGACCCCGCTGGCGGGCTGTCTCTGCAGAGAGGACAAAGACAGCTGCCCTCGTTTCTGGAGCAGCCCCTCTGCTACGCGGCGCTGCAGCAGCTTTCAGCCACCGGGCTGGCCCCTGGTCACCTGGAGGTCTGAGTACCACTCCTCCTGCGTACGTGAACAGCAGCTAAGAAAAGCAGTTTGTTGCTCTGAATTCTCCTGACTGCTGTCCTCACCTCCGATGGAAAATTTTCAAGGTTGCGCAGGCAGGAGGATGCTGTATCGCAGCCCCGCCTGGCACCGGAGAGGATTGCAGTAGCAGGGCAGAGTGAGCAAGTGTGGGAACTTGCCGAAAAGAAACACTGCTCAGGCCTTGGCATCCCCCATGGCCATGCCCTGCAGCACCAAAACACCACAGGGCACCTTCCATCTGTAGCCACCCCAGCAGTCCTCCCATCTACAAGAATCAGTGAGACTGTGTGTGGGTCTTCCCTTCCACCACCACCACTTTGTCTTATTTGGGTCACAGGCTCCATTTCTGCCAAGGAAGAAGGATGCTGTGGCCATGACTAACATTGCCCTTCCACGGACACATCACCAGACCTCTCCTCTCTCAGACGGGCTGCGTTAGGATCCAGCGCCTTCCAGGGGAGCCCCATCATGAAGGATGGAGGCTGCTGAGAGCTGGCAAGGCTTGCTGAGGTTTCATAATTCATACTTGGGTTTTAAGAGCCACTAAGAACCCGCTGCACGAAACTCAGCAGAATACTCCCCTACGCATACCCACATACAGCAAATTGCACACAGGATATTCAGAACACGAGGTTGGCTTTTCATTTATTTCTTTTTAAACACTCTAGCATCAAATCTTATACCTCGATAACACTCTGGGCACATGATGATTTGTTTTGGAAGCTCGGGTTACCAATTCAGATGGAACAAGCTAATCATGATTTTGTCTCTATATTTAACTCATAAGCCAAAGTTAAATAGTCAAACCTGCTTTTTACTCCTACTTGTGGACAAAAAAAAAAAAAAAAAAAAAAAAGAAACCGAAAAAGAAACCAGAGATTGAAAGCTCCTATAAATCTCTGCAAGCCCATATGGATTTTCTTGTTAAAAAGGGTAAAAATATATTTTTTTTTCCTTGAGAAGATAGTGTCAAGAACAAGCCAATCATTAAAAACACGAGCAGCAGACTGGGGATCTCCCCAGCCGGCACCATGTGTCTTCCATGCGAGAGGAAAACTCCCTGTAAGGCAGACAGGGAGTTTGAATTATTAAAGCTGAAGGAATAATACTCAGACTGATCAGAGCAGGGCTCTCTCGAGGGCTGCTGGGGTTTTTCCACTGGCAGGCAGACTACATCGTACGTGAGCTGCATTTAAAGCATTAACCAGCGTATTTCCATATTGCTTTCTCAAGCAGAATCTCTATTTGCTGCAAGTATTCCCCCCCCGCCCCCACCAAAAAAAAACTCTCCACCCCCACCTCCACTGTTAGAGATGATCAAAAAATCAAACGAGAAAATAGGATTAGATTCTCCAGAGAATATAATGTAATTTCCCCATCACTTCACCAGTTCCACGGGAGGACTTTTTTTAATTATGAATAATTGCACCTACAGGTGCATAATGCAGCAAAATGAAAATCTATGAGCACAGGGTTTCCCAGGCAACCTCTTATCAATTGTCTGTTTCTAGGTGATACCATTCACTACCCTATAAAACCTTGAACAGGCTCAGCCGTCGCAGACTAAAAGAAGGGGGGGGAGGCAGAGGGAATCACCCCAACAGGAGGTTCCTTTGTTGGAATATATGAAAGCTCTGTAATTGTTTTGATTCCTAGGAATAATTTGTGAGCTATCTGCGTGCAAATACTCATTGTAAAGCAGTACACTTAAGAAAAAAAAAAAAATAAAGAATTTATTATCCTGAAGACCAGAAAATAAATATTTAATCTCCTATAGAAAAGGTATCTTACAAAAAAAAAAAAAAAAATTTAGAAAAATCTGGCATCTCTGTGAAATATTTCTGGCTTATTTTGTATTTCAGTTGTGTCACTCACATTTAATATGACTTTCACCTCCTGAGATTTCACAAAAAGAAATGCCAATCACACTACAGACATACCGCAAGTCTTTTCTCTCCGTGTCAGTTGCTTTGTTCCTAAATTCTCCAAGATGAAGAGCACAGAGAGAGGCTGGGGGCTGCTCTCCCACATGCCAGCATTGCGTGGTGTTATGACAGTGGGCTTCAGTAACAACAGCTAGTGTGGGAGCTGAAAGCCTGTGTTTTGGGAGAGAATTTACGTGTCACAGGGTTGCCTGCCCATGCTGAGAAAACAAATCAAGAGCCTCCAATTACTAAACCCAAAGGCTTTCCAGGTAGCAAGAACACTGCATGCAATAAGCTTTCCCTCCTCACTGTCAAACAACTTGCAGCAGAATCTCTCCTGCGAGTTCTTTCAGCAGCCACATTCCCCCCTCATCTTTCTCTCCAGCTCAGTTCCCTTTCTATGCCCTTTCCTTACCCTTTCCTTTTCAGTCGACTTGCCTACACAAAAATTAAAAAATAAAAAATCCTTTGGACCAGTCAGTCAAGGCAGGGAAAGGGGATGAGCTGGTAACCTCACTCACAGCACTGCAGCACAGAGACCACCAGCATATTCCAGGAGCTAACCCCCTTCCTGCTGCACCTTCCACTCCAGTCCCTCAGTGACCAAGAGGAGGAACACTGATTTTTCTTTTTTCCCTTTCATATTCCCTTGAGACGACAATGAAAAACCACCCGATATTTTGGCACATACACGTGGAAGAAAACAGATGCTCTCTTTGCTTCGTCGGCCACCTGGCAGGGCAGAGGCTGTCATCATGGACAAGCTGCATCCCAGATTCTTCCCTGGGGTAACTCAGATGGGAAACACACGGTCAGGAACCTGCAGATCACTAACAGTTAGCAAGGGGCTAAAGAAAAAGATTGAAGCTAATAAAATGAAAAGGTCAAAAGCTGACTCCTAACTTTGAATACTAAACAGACAAGCGCTGCCTGGACACATTCAATTACACTCCCCTATTTTTGCTGCAGCTTCATTCCAAATTTAACAATTAAGTCACAAGGATAAAACATGGAACAGAAAGAAATTAACACCTAATTTCGGTAACAGCAATAACAGACATACACTGAGTAAAACAGAACACTATCCAATGGTAGTTTACAATAACTTAGTAAGAGAGAGCATTTGAGACTGGCAAAGTAAAACATAGTAACAGTTATTAAAAATTACAATAGGAGATTGCTTTCATTTTGAGCCAGTCCCAAATGACACGATACAATTTAGTCCAATTGTTTAGGATGGTTCTTTGTGTGGTGAGGTTTTGGGTGAGTTGTTTTTTTTTTGTTTTTTTTTTTTTGGCTGTAAGTAAACTTCAGAACACTTACACAGTTAGTGGATGTTTTGCAAATAAATAAAAGCAGAAGACAATCTATTATGCCCCATCTACAAGAGCTGAAGGGAATTACCCAGCATTATTGTATCATAAAAATTATTCTGGAACATGTAATCCACTTGGCAAGGCTAGCCCAGGCCCTGATGGGTTTCTATTCCAGAGCAGCGCACATGGGTGGGGAAGTGCACTCTGATGGTGTCAGTACTGCTTCTTCTGTGACAGGTTGTCCGGCCAGCAAATTTTGGAGGTAAAGCTCTAGGCACAAGAGAAAGAACATGAGCTGGTGTGAGCTTAATCACTGCAATATCACAGGCATTACAGAGGAAAGTCAACTGTAACCAAAAAAAACACTGTCTTCATGAAGTCTTTTGGTGCCAGAAGAAACCCCTAACTCTGCTCTGGTTTTATTTACATTTTTTTGACAGTAGCTGTAGTCAAGCAGACAGGCTGGAGCTCCCTTGGGCTGAAGCCCTTCACCGTTGACTTCCCCAGGGTTGCTGGGTCACACAGAGGCTGGAATGAATGAAACCCAAAACCGAGGATGTCAAAAGTAGAAATCTTTTTCTTCATGAAAATGGGATGATGGGGCGAAATTAAGATGCAGCTCATGATCTTGCCAATGTCGGCCTCCTCTTGTAAAATGTTTTATTAGCTTATAAAAAAAAAAAAACTTACAAAATATTATCTCATTAGGGCTGAGTACTCTTAAATCTTCTTCAAATAGTTTTTCTGTATATACAGATGGCCATAATCCTTTAAAAGCCCTCTATTAATTACCTCAATTAGATGTGCAAAATGTAATAGATGATTGAGAACTTCTAACGAGGAGAGAACAGCACACAGAAGCAGCAGTGCTGGACATACATAGCCCTTTACCCCAGTACCACCAGTTCAAAGCTGGCCAATATCAAAGCAGACAGAAGCACTCTCATCTGACAGCAATTACATGGGCTGTATGAAATTAGTGGGAGGTTGCACCCCAGACATGGTGAGAGTGCCCTTCCCACGCCCCAAATCCAGCAGCTGCACAGTGTAGCACGAGGTTTCTGCTCCCAGTGGGGAAGGAGCCTGTGCTACCCCTTCATTGAAGCCTTGATCTCTGCCCAGCTGAAGGCCATCCTGTTGTAGGCAGAGAGCTCTGCTGCCTCCTGAAAGGCGATGTGTGGGGACAGCTATGCTGTTCTAACAGCCTCACATCCTCCTTGTGCTGGGGCCCCAGCCCTGGACACAACACTCCAGGTGGGGTCTCACAAGGGCAGAGCAGAGCGGGACAGTCACCTTCCTCCCCTGCTGCCCACCCCTCTGTTGATGCAGCCCAGGATGCAGTTGGCCTTCTGGGCTCCAAGCACACCCTGCTGGCTCATGTTGAGCTCTTTGTCCACCAGAACCCCCAAGTCCTTCTCTGCAGGGCTGTTCTCAGTGAGTTCTTCTCCCGGTCTGTGCTCATGTCTGGGTTTGCCCCAACCCAGGTGCAGCACCTTGCACTTGGCCTTGTTGAACCTCCTTAGCTTCACATGTGCCCACCCATCCAGCTTCTCCAGGTCCCTCTGGATGGCATCCCTTCCCTCCAGCGTATCGACTGCATCAACTCAGCTTGGTGTCATCAGCAAACCTGCTGAGGGTGCACTGAATTCCACTGTCTGTCACTTTAGGAAGGTGAACTTCCAAATTAGAAAAAGTAAATAAAACAACTGTCATGGTAATCCCTTCGTTTCAGCAGTAGCAGGAGGAAAAAAAAAAAAAAAAAAAAAAAAAAAAAAAAACTTTATGGCTGATTTCTTAATAGTAGTTTCACTCAGTATTGCCTGAAGAGACCTAACCAAAAGCTGTTCCCCATGCACAACTCTAGAGTGCTGTTAATAGCAGTAATTAGCTGAACAACCAAAACATCCTTTCCCTATAAAATAGGATCGGTTAAATTTTGAGAGCTTGGATTCCATTCAGAATACATCACCAACACAGTTAACAGGCTTCAGCATTTTATTACCTTGCAATAAAACCCAAAGCAGTACCAGTATTATTGAGATGTACTCAGCCAGGGTGTGAGAGAAGCAGAGCAGCTTTACAGAGGTTAGGAGCAGGAGCCTCAAAGTTTAAATATTGTTGTTGTGTTTGTTTTTTTTGCTAATGTTTCACAATAAAGCAAAAAGTGTGGCATAATTAAATATATTTAAAATTAGCTTTCCATCAAGGGTAAATAAAATGAACCTAAAATATTATCATAATTACAGCTGATCTGCATTCATTTTAAATGTAAAATCTGCAAGGTTACTAAGTGGTAGCATTAAAAAGCTGTAAAACTAAAAGTTATTACGGAATTCAGTCACACAAAACACAACTGAATATCTGTTATTCTGAAAATATAACAGGCTTTCCCTTAAGAGGGCATTTCAAGGTTATTAGAGTTTTTAAAAGGACTTAATATCATCAGCCTGTGGATTGAAAATGTTTACTTGAAGGGGAATGTGCTAGAAAGTGCAGTTCCATTGTTAATAAATAAAGATTTCTAGTTAAATAAATAGATGAGCTAGATAGCCACAGAACCCTGCTGAAGGCTTCACTCACCAGCAAAGCCAGGACCCTGTCTGCTGAAGGTGGTGGACCCAGGTTAGTTGGGACACGAGTTTCCACCTCTCCTGTTTGGTGCAAGCCTGTACCTGTAAAATGAGAGTGTGGAAATAGAAAGTGTAATAAACACAGGCATCTCTGTGTGAGTGCTAGGGTCACCCCGCAGCATCCCACCAGTGCTGGTTTATACAAGTGCTCTGGCAGTTTCTCAAGATTTCAGTATCATGGTGATGGGAGGTTTTTTACTCCTTCAAAGCACCTCTGCCTTCCAGATACAGTCATTAGCGGCCTCTTGGTTTTCTCCACTCAGAAATCTGCTTTTAACAGCATGGTATGATACAATACAAGCAACAAAGAAAAGCCTCATTTCGGATGGGGCAGTAAGAGCTGCTGAGCTGCTCACAGGGTGCATGTTTCCTGCTGTGAAAAAGCAAACTAAAATGGTGCGGTTTCATTTTTTTGCCTTGGAGTCACCTCCATATCAGGAGGCAGCACCAGTACCCACAGTGATGGTGACACAGTGATGCTGGAGCAGCCAGGACATTTAGAAGGGTCCACCACGAAACTTAAAAGTTCATCAGATGACAAACTGAAGTCATTGTTATCTCTCAGTTTTTTGATTGCTGCCAGTTTGTAAGCAAGAAGTTCCTCTCAAAAGCTGGTCCACAACAGAGAAGGTTAACAAACCCTCACAGGACAGATACAGCTTACACAGCAGGACTGCTTGTGCTGACACAGCTTAATACTACTGCCACAAATGAAATAACCTGTATTGACTTGTTTGTCAAAATGAGTTGCATTTGCAGTAGGTATTTACTCTGCTAGTATGAAAATGCTGATCATTTTAGTTTTCACCCCACAGCTAGACTTGAAAACATTCCTTGCATTGACCCGTGCCAGTGCCTTTCCCTCTCCCCTCTTGATTGTCTGCATTTTTAAGGTTGGTGGGCAGCCATACTTCTGTATGCAGTCTTTAACCATTCTTTGCTTACTGCCCTTATTGGTGCTTTCTTAGGAAGTATTTTTTAGGGGCAGTGGTGAGGAAGGAGAGTGACTTTTTATTTTTATTTAATGATACCCCCAGAAATCAAATTTGGATTGTAATTTTCCAGAAAAAGCTCCATATGAAATATGTTGGTAGTACCATTTGGCACAGGCACAATTCCCAAAAGACACGTATGATCTTCCAGACAGGTTGCTGTGGAGCATGAGGAATATTTCTTTCCCCCTTGCCTGCCTAGTCCAAAATCTTGTCTTCACAAATTAAGGTCTCTGATCACTCACAAGATCAAGGATGACTATCCAGAAACTTCTCATATCATTTCATTGCTTCCAGTGTATTTCTGCTCCCTCTCAATCTATGTTAAGGAGATTGCAAAGACAAGTAACTTTGCAGATACAGGAATAGCAACCACCCCAAGGAAAATTGTATTTACTGGAGAAAGAGAATCAGAGTACAGAAAAACACACATGCAAAGCATTTGATACTGTCCTGCATAACATCCTTGTCTCTCAACTGGAGAGAAGAGGATTTGATGGATGGACCACTCGGTGGGTAAGGAATTGGTTGGGTGACCACACTCAGAGAGTTGCTGTGAATAGCTCAATGTCCAAGTGGAGATCAGTCGTAAGTGGTGTTCCTCAGGGTTCAGTACTGGGACCAGTGTTGTATAACATTTTTGTCGGTAACACGGACAGTGGGATGGTGTGCACCCTCAGCACATCTGCCAATGACACCCAGCCGAGTGGTGCAGTCGATACGCTGAAGGGAAGGGATGTCATCCAGGGGGACCTGGACAGGCTGAGAGGTGGGCCTGTGAGAACCTCATGAAGTTCAACAGCCCAGGTATAAGGTCCTGAACCTACACCAGGGCAATCCTAAGCACCAATACAGGCTGGGCAGAGAATGCACTGAGATCAGCCCTGAGGAGAAGGGCCCAGGGCTGTTGGTGGATGAGACATGAGCCAGAAATATGAGCTTGCAGCCCAGAAAGCCAACCGTAACCTGGGCTGCACCAAAAGCAGCATGGCCAGCAGGGAGAGGGAGGGGATTCTCCCCCTCTGCTTTACTCTTGTGAGACCCCACCTGGAGCACTAGGGACCTGTTAGAACAAGCCCAGAGGAGGTCCATGAGGACGATCAGAGGGCTGTAGCATCTCTCCTACGAGAGAGCTGGGGTTGTTCAGCCTGGAGAAGAGAAGGCTGCAGGGCAGCCTTGCAGTACCTAAAGCAGGGCTACAGGAAAGCTTGGGAGGGAGTCTTTGTCAGGGAGTGGAGTGCTGGGACGAGGGGGAATGGCTTTAAACTAAACAAGGGCAGGTTTAGATTAGATGTTAGGAGGAAATGCTTTACTCACAGGGTGGTGAGGCACTGGCACAGGCTGCCCAGAGAAGCTGTGGATGCCCCATCCCTGGAGGTGTTCAAGGCCAGGCTCGATGGGGCTTTGAGCAGCCTGGTCTAGTGAGAGATCTCCCTGCACCTGGTGGGGAGGTTTGAAAAAGATGGTCTTTAAGATCCCTTCCAACCCAAACTATTCTGTGATTCTATGCCAACGGGAAAAACAGAACTAATTCACTTATTTTAACACACAGGTGCTCTGCATTCCCTTGGAAGTTTCATAAGATAAGCTGCAAACAGCAACTGCCAGAGAGAAAAAGAGTGACCATGTCTCCTCGGCTTTTTAAATACAAAGACCAAGGGCAAGATTTGTGTTATACTTTGGAAATGCAAAATTTGGAAATGCAAATCCTACCTGTCTGATCAATTCGAAATGCAGTAATTCTAGACAAAACTGACAGATTTTAACAACTGCTTGTTAATTAAGCTTCATAAACACTATGAAGAGATGGTTCTTCTGAAAGTCCCAACCCCACACAGTTACCTGTGAAATAAACAATGTTTAAGGGTATATATCCTGTTATTTAAGGGTGAAGACTTTCTTGTTTTTTAATAACATTTTTTTACCTCCTTATAGATAGAGGAAGCATGAGACAGGGCAAATACAATTATCAAAACAGAAACTTAGAATAAACATACATTAGTTCAGTGCTTTCTTTATTCCCTTCTGTAAACTGCCTCCAACCAGATTTTTAAACATTAGCTTTGAAAATGTTAATGTTTATTATATTTAACATTAAAATATCAGATGTCACCAACCTTCCCAAGGTCTTTACTGCCTGACGTTGGAAGATGTAATTGTTCACATACATGCTCTTCTCACTCCCAGTTAATTAAGATCCATAAAGAATGGTTCATTAGCTGAATGAAATCAACCAGCAAGAGTTTTTTTGGTGTTGTTTTTTTTTTAAAAAAAAAAAAAAAAAAAAAAAAAAAAAAAAAAAACATTTTGTTTCTGATAAGGATGTAAACAAAAAGCTACAACAATTAAAGAATATTCATTTCTATGTTCCGTGGTATAGATTTTTCATCCTCTATTTGTGAAGCTGTAGTTCCTACATTTTAAGCCTTTCTCGACAGAACATCGCCACCTTGTGACTGTGGCTGCTTATGGGAGCGTCCAGAAACCAGATTAGAGGACCTTGACACGGGAAGGCTGATAGGCAGGAAAAAAGCAAATGAGGAGGAAAGACTCTTTTTGTTATTTTCATTTGGAACAGTTTCCTAAGTAATTCGAAATGCAAAAAGATATTTACAAGTTGATTAAATAATTAACAAATAAGTAACAGTACTTACCATCTCAGATAAGAGAAGCCAAGCTTTTAGCTCACACTGTATCAGATCAGTTTAGTTCAGTAATATCAGACATAATTTGAATTCGACTAAAATGTAAAAGATTAAGACAGAAGAAATTCAGACAGTGTCAGCAAAACCTTCCCAGCAGTGAGATCTATTCACTGGAGATACAGACTCTTGATTCCTTATGGGATTTTAAGTCTAGGCTATACATAAGCCTACCTTGCAGAGTTCCAGCCCACAGTTACTAGATTAAAGCAACTCTGTCTAGTCCAATGGATATTTTTTTTCTCAGATTCTTTTTTTTTTTTTTTTTTTGGCTCCAAGATATCTAAAAGACAGAGATCTCATTTTTAGGTAAGGTCCCCACAATAGACCACACACTATTGAAGTGTTTCTTTCTTCAAGACCATACTACCACTCCAGCTGCACTCTGTTCACTGACTTCAAAGTAATTTTATGAGACAGGAATCCAAAATAAAGACTAACTTCATACAATTTTCTTCTTTTTTCTAAATTCTCCAAAATTAAGGATCACTACTATCTTGTGCTGAATGTGCACAAGACAATGCACATGGTAAAAATGTGTAAAAAGTGGTCATGCCTGGAGTTTTCAGCTTTACCAGAGAGTGAACACAGCTGCACCCAACACTGAGCAGTCTCGCAGGTCTCTGCCAAAAGCAAGGGAGTATCCACGCCAACACATTACCTCTCGGTCAGTTGAGCCTGGGAATAATGGCCTTTACAGCAGCAATTTTAGGGAAGTTTTAGGGGAGCATACCGGTAAAGTGCTTTCCCTTTTAAAATGCTTGCTAAGGCATTTTCTCCCTGGTTCTTTCATTGCTCGGTACATTGGAAGGACCATATTTATGCTTTTCCTGCCAGTAAAGTGCCATTCCTGGCCCTGTTCCGAAGCTTCATGAAAGCTTTTTCTCACAGCTGCCAAGGGGAATCCTTTCAGGGGTATTGCACGTACATCACTGTGATTAAAAATAGAAGCAGCAGAAGCTATCAAGAGACTAAGCAGGGCAAGAAATAAAGGTGCCGTTTGGGGGCTCTACAGAGAAAGTCGCATTGAAAATCCTGCATTGAACCAACACCTGTTTTGCTATAGATGTCTGTTAAAACAGTGTCAAATCCAAGTTATGATAGCCAGTCTTATTCTCATCTTTCTTAATTTATTAAAGATGAAATAAATTCAAAACTGAGCCTCTTTTTTGTTGCTTCCAAGAATACAGTCTTCACTGTGAATTAGACTCAGAACAGTAACTCACCTTTGTATGCTTTGAATTATGTCACTGACAACCTATATTAGCAATGATCAACAGAAGTAAAATTTACACATCTCATACTGTGTTTTTTTATAGCAAGCTGGCAAGACAAAATAGCATGCATCA